TACGGTACTCATTCATTTAAGCAATACCAATTCGGAATTGTACCAAATTTATTCAATATCTAGGTATGTTAATACCAAGAAATATAACCCAGTTAGTAACAGTAAACATAAATAATAAAAGAGTCTTCACTAGATATTGACAGGTAGGAACCATTAAACCTTACTTTTGGGGGGAAAGTGCATGCTCTCAAAATGAACATTACTCCCAGATTTCTTTATGTCCTGAGAGGACTTCCAGCTTTTATACCTGGGTCATATTTTCAAAAGATAAATTCTCTGTTTAGGAAATGTCTTTGGAGCTCAAAAGCACTGAGGATATCTATGCAGAAAATACCATTACAAATGAAAGAAGGTGGATTTGGAAATATTGGAGACCTCCTGATGGTCTTAACTTCCTGACATGGGCAACCTTAGAATATACATATATAGCACTTTTGGTTGGTTGGACAGCATTAGAATCAAAAATATTTCAGAAATATTTGAAATTTCAGATGACTCTTGAAATAATTCAGTTAGAATACTGGATTGTTGTAGCTAATAAAAGCAACTTTGATCCATTTTCCCATGCAAAACTTACTCTGTGGGGATATCCTACTCTAAAAATTTGAATAGAAGATGGTAAGATGGAAAAACTGGATGGAAGCAGGTGTATTGACCTTGATAGATGAAGAATATGAACATTACATGTATGATGTTCTAAGAGAAAATATCACCTGTCCTATGAGGCCCAATGGCAATATCTGCATCTTTCCATACAGCATCTTTTAACAACCTCATCTCAAATGTTCAGTGTAAAGAGTGCATCTTCAGCATTCACCAGAAGCGATAGAATGGTGCCAGGATGGGGAAGGAGTTCCACAACGTAGGGGCTGCATAGTGGCCTAGCAAGCACGATGGTCTCATGAACATTCAAACCATCTCCATAGCGAACCATTCTATCTTGCATCTGCTTCACATCATTTTTAAGCTCTGTCAGGTCCTTTTGGATCGGCTTCAGAACTTGTACTTGAGCCAGTAAATTTCAGTAAATTAGTATTAGTGTCCTCCACCACCATTTCACTGATTAGTGACGCTGTTGGACTTGAAGAAGCTGCCTCTCATTTCGCACTAGTTGACATGGCTACATCTCATTAAAAGAAATAATACATAATGGGAGGTTTTATATACTCAGTAATCAATGACTTTGTCCAAGCAGTCCGATAATTCAGTAGTTTGAAAGCTTGTTAGTCTGAAGAGGAACGAGAAATTTGCTTTCAATGGGTTTTGGGGAATTGACTGCTTTGAATGAAAGGGACGGTGCTGTTCTGTTTGTATTGTAATTATTGGCCAGGTTTGCTGTTTTGTGCTGTCAAATTCTACAACTGATCCTCAACTGTCACTTCAAACCAATCTTTCAGTAGCCAAAATATATCTACTTCAAATTCCCTTGTTATCTCTGGATTTCACCTAGAGGTATTTTGCTGAAAACAGAATCTTCTTGGTATTCAATATCTTTTAAATTTTGTGTTCCTGGCAAATAACAAAATCCCACATAATTATTATCTGGCCTTTGTTCTGGGCTCTTTCTTTGGTTTTATTTGCAGATGGTATCCTTCTGCTTATTTCGAAGACTCAATCTAGTATTTCTAATTTGATGAAAGCAATTGATGCTTTGGGTAAAATTTCAGGATTTTACCCAGAGGTATTTTGCTGAAAATAGAGAAATGCTTTTCACAATCTTTTTGGTGTTCAGTATCTTTAAAAATTGTGTGCTCCTGGCAAATAACAAAACCCCACATAATTATTATCTGTATCAAGCTAAAATATTACAGTAAAAGAGAGTCTTTCTGGCAAATCCATCTAAGTTCAATACTGCAGGCTTCAGCGACGAGTTCAGACTTTATCTTGCCACAATAGTTCCCTTTGGCATACTTTGGTTCTGGAAATCTGTGGAAGGAAAGGGTAGAGTTGAAGGTCAGGACTGAAGACTGTTACAACTATCCGCCCCCCCCACATTCTTAATAGAAATCAGGGTGTTCCCAAAATGTGTAATAAGCTGGCTGTGTGCATTTGAATCCTTCAGACATGCATGAATAGTATCAAATTGAATAGCATGAAGAAAGTCATTATTATTATTTATTAAATTTATATACCACCCTATACTCGCAGGTCTCAGGGCAGTCCACAGGATACAAAGGTCATGCGTGCTTGATAATGGGATCGAGCCATCTTACCCTTTTCCTGCCCCAAGACCAAATATTTTCCTTTGAGGCATGGGAAGGAGGGTTGCAGCAGTGGTGGAGAATCCTGGGCATACTTTACATCCCGGGAACTAAAAATGACCAGCCCAGTTTGCCACCTAGGGAGAGTTGGTGAATTGGTGTAATGGGGCAGATATAGGAGCTTGAGAGCAGAGCTGGCTTCCTTGTTGGTATTTGGACCTCAGCACATTCCCAGCAACAATGGATGTGCAACACTCTGTATTAGTCGGTGACTTACCTCAACCACATTAAGACTTTACAAAGCCCAACTGGTCAGTTGGTCACCCCAAATTAAATGAGATGGGGGCACCTGTCATTAACTGCTAATAACCTTCCAGTTCTCCCTTCCTTCTCTCTCCTCTGATTTTCCTCTAGGACCGAAAATGAACTTCTGGCCAGTTCTTTTTGAATGTAGGTGTTATGTACTGAAGTTCTCACCCTGAGCCAGCAGGGGGATACTGTAGATAGTTATGCAAATAAGGGATCGAAAGTGACGTTCAGTGATTGGATAGTTTTAGAAAGTTGTTACAATTATGTGTACTGGAGCTCTATATAAGCAGGGGGATACTGTAGATAGTTCAGGTCCACGTATGCAAATAAGGGATCAAAAGTGACGCTCAGTGATTGGATAGTTACAGAAAATGGTTACTGTTGCGTTCTAGTGGAGCTCTATATAAGCAGGCTGACTGAACCCTTCAGTTCAGTTCTGTTCTGGCCTCTGAATAAACAAGAGCTGTTTGAAGAAACGCTGTGTCGTCTGATATGTTCACCCACAACTTAACAGTATGTATGTGTTAAGAGTGACAAAAAAGTCTCCCTCTTTTACATTGCATTTCCAACAGTTCTTATTTTTCATTTTGTACATTTGTTAGTTTGGTGGGTATTAAGTACCACCTATAAATGGAATTTGGCAGCATCTTATATACCAGTCCCTCTCTCTGCATGAGAATGCTGGCAACCTAATTGGAACCGGTGCAGAAACCTGTGCCTCAATTGCACACCCAAATAATCTGAGCTCTAAAAATTGCATGATGTTTTGCTTAGGTTAAAAACAATGAGAAGAACTCACAGACTCTGATCAAGCTGGGAGCCTGTAATCCACATCCATTTATTCTCTGCTAATGATAGTGAGAGTCCGATCCAGAATTTTGCATTTTTTGTAATGTTTTTTATGAAGTCCTGTGTCAGAGAAAATGTATTTTTGAAAAAGATATTTGCTGATTTTCAAACTGATGGCATCAAAACAAAGATTAATATAAACTCCACTATCAACCGCATCCTCCTGGAAAGACTTTCTAAATAAAAAGAGGACTTGGGCTACAGTTACATGAATTTGCTTGCAACTTACTGCTTTGGTTCTCACTAGTCAATCTCCCCAAGGCCCTATCTAGACACTGATGAACTGGCCTTGGGTGGGAATGGGATGAAATACTAAACAAGGCCCTGCACTCCACAAGCTTCTCAAGTCACAAAGCATGATACCATTGTCGAGTTACTAAGTTAGAATTAAACGCAATTGGACTCAGGCTTCCTTCAGGCATTGCATGAAATATATCATTGTTCCTGACCATTTCCTGTTTGTCTTGGATGACCAGCAGATGAGAATCCCTTGTTGAACAGTCATGTTGGCTCTCATTCCAGGTTTTAGTATCTTCCGATTGCCAGTAGCATTTGTCCCTGTGGAGCTGCCATTGTACAGGGCACACTTTGCAAGTGGAATTAACTGTGGAAGGGAAGATAGACACATAATTTAATGATTCTGACTGGCTCACCATTTCCAATGTAGAAAAACATTATGTACTCTGCAACTGCAGAAACCAGTGGCTTTAGGCTTACTGACGCCAATAGTGCTTCAGTAGCCACAACCTCAATAAGCTAAACTATAGTAGTCCCTCCAAACTGGTGGCTTTATTTATTGACTGAAAAGGTGATTGATCAGATGGGGTGGGTGGGTAGCAAAATAACGCTTGTAGCATAGGGAAAGGGGCAGCTAGTCACAGAAAATGAGTTAAAAGTCTATAGCCAATTGAAGTACAGTCGTACCTCGGAAGTCGAACAGAATCTGTTCTGGAAGTCCATTTGACTTCCGAAACATTCAACTTCCGAAGCGCGGCTTCTGATTGGCTGCGAAAGCCCCATCGGACATTCAGCTTCTGAAAGAACATTCGAAAACCGGAACACTCACTTCCCGGTTTTGATCATTTGGGAGTCGAGGTACGACTGTATATGTTTGGACCAAACCACATGTTTCAATACATCGATTTGTGACATTATTCTGACTGTTGCTTCCTTACTGCAAAACTTATTCGTGATGGGGGAACTTGCGGTTTGAAAGTGGATTTTGTCCCATTGGGTTTCCACAGTGACCTATATTTGTAAAAAAAATAAAAACAGGTACAATATATAAATTTTTACCTGAGGGCTTGCTCTGGTATTGGTTGCAGAGGCTGCGTCTTAGGAAAGCCTGAAACTTGTCTAAACAGAGATTGCATCTGCCAGCATTTACTCTGGTTTCTCCTTTATCAGTTTTCAACTGCAAAGCTACTCCTCACCAAACAAACAAACAAACAAACAAACAAACAAACAACACATTTATTTAAATAAATAAGCATCATGTTAACACACATAATCAAAATATGGAGGCCAAGGAATGAAAAAGAAGATGGATACAATTACCGTAGATTCCGGCGTAATAGGCGACTGGACGTATTAGACAACCTCCCAAATTGGCAGCTCCAATTTGGGGGTTTGTCTTATAAGCTCAGTCTTTCTCCCAGAACGGAGCCCGCTGCATGCCGCCTATACCCGGCGTATAAGACGACCCCCAACTTTTTAACCTCTTTTCCAGGGTTAAAAAGTCATCTTATACACCGGAATCTACGGTAGATACGGAGAGCAAGCTGCAAACGAGACCTGCCACAATTCCTCCCACAGAAGTATGAATCCATCTTGGCCTTCTTCAGAAAATCACATAGTAAGGGGAATGATGGCAGCATCTTTACGAATATAAAAGTATTTATGTTATCCGCTTGGTTGCTAAAGAAAATAGACAAAAATAACTCTTCACAATGTTGGAGAAACTGTGGGAATGATGGAAAACTTATGCACATCTCTGGGAATGCCCACAGATTAAAAACTTTTGATTAAAAGTATTTCAGGATAGGGAACAAATTACATTTCAATCGATTGCTTCAGATCCCAAATGACACCACAATCGTACCTTGGATGCCAAATACCTTGGTACTCGGACGTTTTGGCTCCCAAAAGCAGCAAACCCGGAAGTGAGTGTTCTGGTTAGTAAACGTTCTTTGGAACCAAAACGTTCGACGGGCCATCTGCAGCTTCTGATTGACTGCAGAATCTTCCTGCAGCCAATCGAAAGCTGTGCTTTGGTTCATGAACGTTTTGGAAGTCAAACGGACTTCTGGAACAGATTCCGTTTGACTTCCAAGGTACAACTGTACTTTCAATATTTGTGGATGAAGCACATACAATTTAAAAACAAGAATACCACATATATGGAATCAATTCAAATCCAAGAGAGATAACGACTGGGACATTAGAAGATTATATATTAACAAGTAGTCTTATTTTTAACATGTGATAATATGCTCTAATTTTCCCCATTTTAAATTCCTTGAGGGATTTTATCCCACTGCTCGGTAAGTTGCTGGATGATTCTACTGAATCTTGGAGACTCTGGGGTTGATAGTCAGGAGTCTCATCTTCTGCTGCTGTTCTGAGAGCTGCCATACTGGGCTAAACCAAATGTTCATAACCTGCTGACTGGGCTGGAGCTGATGGAAGATGTTAGACAATCATTCTGTATGTGCTTTTACTGTATGGTAAACCACTTCAGGATGCCACATGGAAAGCAATTCATAAATGAAATAATAAACAATACTCACCCAAGACTGTCACAGCCACCCCCAGGATGATGATCACAAAGCCTCCTGTCCACAGGGTGATCTGGTACCAACAGGGAAGCCCAGAAGCATCTGTGAGGAGAGGGAAAACTTGAATGATGCGAGTCCGCAGTGCCTAGACTAGAGTCTCCTGCAACTCATTGCAGGGATATAATGCTGGGTGATTTGTTTTTGTTTTGTTTTTTGACACAAAAAAATCGCTTCAGGAGACAACAGGCAAATGGTATTTGTTTAGTAATGACCGCTCCCCACATCAAGTGGGGGGCGCCTTTTGCGTGGTCGCACGCAGCCCCCTGGATCCCAGTGCGGCTCCCGGTAGTACAGGCTGGCTTTGCCCTCCCCAGGCTGGATACCTGGAGGTCTCTGCTACCTCAACCAATCATCCAATCCCGCCTGGGGAGGCGCTGCCAGGGATTGGCCAGGTAGGGGGAGGGACCACCCTGCCCACACAACAGAATCTTACCTGCAAAGCATCAGTTGGCTCCAGAGCTTCTCCCACCCTGCCCTCCCTCAATTAAGTCTTCTTTTGCAGGTTAACCTCTTCTCCACAGGTACGTGGGCACTGCTACATCATGATCGCTGTTGAAGGGCCAGAAAAGAATTTTCCTGCATCGGCAGGTTTTGCCTTTCCCTTAGCAAAACATCACAACTTTGGTGGTTTCAGGCCTTGGGCAGAATCCTTTAGTCTGTCTTCCTAAATGGGCGGGGCGTGAAGCGGTGGACCCCCCCTTGCGGCTGTGATCCCAGGGTTCCCCGTTAAAGGGGTCTTGAGGGGAGGCATTGGCCATACGCCGAGAGGTTGTCATTGCTCTCCCCTGCGATGGCGGCAAAACAGGGGGCAGGCTCTCTGCTTGAATAAATGTTCTCCAGAGCCAGCCCAATCCCCACACATTCTGGATAACCCTGATGTCTCCCAGATCCCTGGCTGGGGACTGGGAAGGATATACGCCCAATACCTGAGACAAGGTCCCCTACATCTGAAACTTAATAAAGTTGTGGCCAATTTTAATCCCATAACACATTGTCTTGAGTCATTATTCCACTCGGGGGTCGCCTGGGGTTGGGGGGGCTCCACCTGTTCATGCAAATTGCCAAAATTCATTGTATTAGGCTTGAAAAAAATTGTGTGCTGGCTGCGCAAAACTGCAAACAAAAACGTGCATATTCAGAGAAATGCACACTAAAATGTTGAATGTTCAGGAGGAGTTTAAAGGGGTGTGTGGAAGTGATGTAGGAATGTGGAGATCTGCCAAGCTAAACTTGTCTAATTTAGAAGTTCACAAAAGACAAAAATAAGATTGAGCTTTGATGGAGCTTGCACGATAATGAGAAAAGGTGATCTCCCACTCCACATGCAAGAACTCATGAGCAGTCTTTGATACCAGTCTTCTGATGATCTGAAAATCTCGTCACTGTTCTGGATCTCCAGTTGTAACCCCTTGACTATGTTCAGCTCACTGTCATTGATTTTGTGCTCCTCTTCCTATCTGGCATGATTGAAAATATATTGCCACGGGGGGCCACCAGGTGGCGCGTTGGAAGATGGCCGACAATAACATCTCCCTGACCCATACGAGGTACTAAGGGGCTGCTATGGGAAGTATGCAGCCTTCCTGAACTCCTCCAGGATGTGGAGGAGAACTGTCCTGCCAGCGGTGTTCACAATGCACCCCCTGAAACGAGTGATGGGGGTGCCGAACACTTGGCACAGGCCCTCGGTGAAGTCAGATCTTCCTGAAGCCGATTCCAATTAGCGCGTGCTGGTTGCTTCAGCTTGGAATTATAATTGGAAACATACGATTGGAAACGAAGCTGAAAGCACATACATCAAGTAAAGCTCGAAGATAAGACTGCTGATTAATGGATCTCTGCGACCAGGAGTGACGGATGGATAAGTAAATCTTCTGATGAATCACCATAAGGAGACTGTATGTTTGGAACGAAGGGGGTGGAGGAAAAACTCTTTTTTTCTGTGCATGATGTGACATTAATAACCCTTCACCCCAGATAGAAACAAGATCGTCACGTTTCTATGAATCACAGGCAGGATTTTAAGAACTATGTGGGACGGAGTATAAGGAAAGAAGACTGGAGAACGGTGAGAAAAGAAGAAAAATTTTATGACGCAGTTAAAAAATGGTGTCTCGCCATGACAGGTTTGCCAAGGAAGAAGGACTGGGTGGGGGGGGGAGAGAATCAGGATTGTTTGAAAGAGAAGGAATGCTGGAATGTAAGTTTGACCTGACAGAACCCCCAGACTCATTTGTTATTTGGTAAGCCTGAGAAAAATAAAGGACAGATCGGAGATTAATTTTGTTTATGGAAGCGTTGTACAGAGGCTGTCCTGGATCGATATGATTTTTGGAAAAGTACAAAATCCACATAGAATGCCAGCTGTTAACCTGCTTGTGAAAATCATCAGAGATTGCAAAGAAAGGAATTTATGATAACAACAAGAAGAGAAAAGAAGTAACAAAGGACTTTCCGGATCAAACTGGAGAGAACCGTCTAATTAATGCAGTAAGATAAGTGATGCTGTTTTGGACTCGAGCTGAGCTTGATGTATGGGTACCCCCAACAAAATTTAAAATTTGGCTGTATAATTTGGAATCAATGTGATAATGTGATGTGATTGGCCTGTTAATATATATATATATTTTTTTAAAGAAAATATATTGCCACTTTCTGGTGTCTGTTATGTTTTTAATGCAGATTTCCTCCACTGCTGATGTGACTGTCAGCTGTCAGCAGCATGCTTTGTCAAAATCAGGGAAGAGAAATACAGCGAAGAAGAGAGGAAGGAAACCATCTTTTATGTCTGGTGTTTTCATAGAATCATAGAATCATAGAGTTGGAAGAGACCACAAGGGCCATCGAGTCCAACCCCCTGCCAAGCAGGAAACACCATCAGAGCACTCCTGACATATGGTTGTCAAGCCTCTGCTTAAAGACCTCCAAAGAAGGAGACTCCACCACACTCCTTGGCAGCAAATTCCACTGTTTTGTATTAGTTTGAATTTTAAAAATCTTCAGATTCTTAAGAAAACATTCATCCACTAATAGGAAGCAGGTTGAAATACTTTGCTATTTTTATTTAGAGGAAAAAGTGGATGTGTTGCATTGATTTTTCTGCAGAAGAATTATAGAATAGTAGCATCAGAGGGGACCAATCTATGCAGAATAGTCCAATCTATGCAGTTCTAGCATACAGGAATCAAACCTGCAACCTAGGCAGTATATGAACCATGTTCTAACCAACTAGGCTATATATTCACAGAAAATGTACCCTCACATCCAAAGTGGTTGAAAAAATCATGGTTATTAACAGACGTATCTGGCAATCGGTGAGCATGGGAATATTTATATGCATTCACTAACTGATGTAATTTCAGTACCCCGTGGCAAGAAGTCTTGAAGCCGATAGCTATGGAAATTTTGTTCCAATTCTGCAATCTGTATTTGCCGGATAAAACGTGCTCCCCCCTTTTTGGGGTTTTTTTTTTTTTTTGGACATGTTTGTAGTTTTAAGTTGATATTAGCGCCATTAAAACACACAATAAAACAATTGCTTCAAGACATAAGCATGCCCAATGAAAACATGCAACAAAAATTCCTTTAAAACATGGCAGTAATTAATCATGAGATTTATGCTGAGAAATCTGTGTAAACAGGGGCATCTTCAAAAGCCCGCAGAATGCCAATAGAGATGAATATGCTTGTGTTTCATCATGGAGTGCCTTCCATATCGCTAGTGCTATCGGTGAAAGGAGCCCACCTCCCACAAGCCAAGAATCAGGAAGGTGTGGCAAGACTAATTGGGATTCACTGGTTGTTTTAATGCCCTTACCTGACAACAAAAGGGAAGTTGTTCTTTTAGGAAATCTGGTCCAGAGCTGTTTAGGGGTTTATACCTAAGTAACGGCGTTTCCGTGTGCTGCTCTGGTTTGCCAGAAGCGGCTTAGTCATGCTGGCCACATGACCCGGAAGCTGTATGCCGGCTCCCTCGGCCAATAAAGCGAGATGAGCGCCGCAACCCCAGAGTCGGCTATGACTGGACTTAATGGTCAGGGGTCCCTTTACCTTTTACGTAAGTAACAAGACCTTAAAAATCCAGCTTGATGTCTAATGGGCAGCCAGTGCAAATCCCTTACTACAGGCATGAGATGTGCTGGGTAAGACAGACATGGTCCAAATGGAAGTTACTCTGCCCATTCAATAAATCTGCTCCACTTCCCAGTGGGGAGGAGTTGTGATGGACCACATGGCCACCCTCTCCCCTCCATGGGCGGGGGATGAAGTCCCACGTCCCCCGGAGGTTCCCAGCCATGTCATTCACCTGCCAGCCAATCCGCTGGCTTTGGGGGCGTAGCTGGGCCCCATTTAAACTGAGGCATGAGCCGGAGAGATTCCTCTTGGCTCACTTCCTCAATCTCCCTCCCTTCCCCCCTATTTTCAGGTTTCGAATTTGGCCTTGCTATGGACCTCGGTCTGTATAGTCAAAGTTATGGTTTTCCTAGCAGTGATGTATGGAAGTGAAAGCTGGACCATAAAGAAGGCTGATCGCCGAAGAATTGATGCTTTTGAATTATGGTGCTGGAGGAGACTCTTGAGAGTCCCATGGACTGCAAGAAGATCAAACGTATCCATTCTTAAGGAAATCAGCCCTGAGTGCTCACTGGAAGGACAGATCCTGAAGCTGAGGCTCCAATACTTTGGCCACCTCATGAGAAGACAAGACTCCCTGGAAAAGACCCTGATGCTGGGAAAGATTGAGGGCACAAGGAGAAGGGGATGACAGAGGACGAGATGGTTGAACAATGTTCTCGAAGCTACCCTCATGCGTTTGACCAAACTGCAGGAGGCAGTGGAAGACAGGCGTGCCTGGTGTGCTCTGGTCCATGGGGTCACGAAGAGTCGGACACAACTAAACGACTAAACAACAACAACAACATGGACCTCGGTTAGTCTCCATTGAGGGGCCTGGTAGGAGTTTTTCCACCTGGCAAATTGGCATGGGCCATTTGGTTTTTGCCTACCTCGTAGCAATTGTCACAACTTTGTAAGGTTTGGCG